AGAAAGTATCCTCCGTACTTTAGACAGGCGAGCCCTTGCCTTTTACGTCCAACGCACCCAACCTTTCAGGTGTTCACCTCGACTTTTCAGAAGTCACCAACCACCTACTAAAGATTGCCAGGTAACATCTCAAACCATATCTAGACGGGTCACTTCAACCATGCACCTTGCATATCAACTGGCATGCAAACCAGTCCTGAAGGTGATTTGCCCCCCACTCCACCAGAACAGTGGCGACCTCTACGGCATTCCTACATGGCGTACCTCTTCCGGACGTCTGCACCTCTGCCACCTGGGCACAGCCATCCACTTTCATCCACCATTATAGACTTGATCTCCGGCAGAAGTCGATGTGGCCCTTGGATGTGCTGTTCTAGCCTCTACCTTGGCATGACACCCTGCCTCCGGGTAAGACAGCTTTTTAGTCACCCAGGTTATGATTCAGAGAGGCCATGAAGAAGAAAGACAAGTTACCCACCTGTAATTGTAGTTCTTTGCGTGGACCTCTGCGATTCCCACATCCCACCTGCCCTCCCCACTGTCACACCATTCTGCTTAATGTTGCGGCGGTTGACACAACTGAAAGGGGGAGCCTTGGTGCCAAGGTACTTATATGAGGGGGGAGGGGCCTTATTCTAATGTGTTTTTTGCTACTACAGAAGCTCTAGAACTTTCCAATGAGGCTCTGCGCAGGCACAGATGACCCAGGGTGTGAATCACAGAGGTCCACTCAAAGAACTACAATTACAGATGGGTAACCTGTTGTTCTTGACATACTCAGATAGAGCTTAGAAAGATTCTTCCTACTTCCAACTCTGGGATGCTGCTGCAAGTCAATGTATACAGTATCCAAGTAGACAGACCAAAATCCTGACTTCCTATGGACCAATGTGTCACGTTCCAGGGTGTGAATCACAGAGGTCCACTCAAAGAACTAATACCAAGAATGTAATGTCCATAATTCAACTCACAGAAGGAAGTCCAGTGTCAAAGTCCAGAGTCCGATACAGCATAGTCCAGGGTCAGAGTCCGAAGTCCAATACCAGTGTAGTCCAAGGGCAGAGTCCAGAGTTCAGGGTCAGGAGCACAGTACAAGAAGCGTGGATGCAAGCCAAGGTTTTGACTCTTTGCTTCCACAGAATTTCTGGCTTCACTGGGAGCTGTTTTATAGCAAAATAGCTCCTTGAGCTGCTGGAAAGCTTTCTATCCTGTTAATACTCAGGACTAGATGCACGTAGGTTTCTGTGGACAGCCTTTGAGCGACCCTCTGATCTTCTGGTCCTAAGTCTTTCCCAAAGCCTGGCCTGAAGCTTGTCTGCTGTGGAAGGAGAATCTGGAGGCGGGTCAGGTGTTTCTAGTCTCTCAGTATTCTCTTCAGCCACAGTTAACCCTTCTGGGTCCAGGTCTTCGGATGCACTCATGACACTATGCTCCGTGTTGGTAAGAAACCATGGGATGTCATTCTTTGCTGTATCATAAGGCCAGACTCCAAATTATACCCAGTCATGTGAACCTTATTTTCTGTCAATTTCCTTTTTCAAGTGCAAACAACTTCTGACCTGCAAGCTTCCACAGAGGAATGTTGATGCTAGTGATGATTATTTATTTTTGTGCTGTTTCTATATCTTAAAACTGCCAATGCAACAGATCACATATACTAGCTGTTGCACCCCAATTATGGAATGTCTTCTCCTTGGAAGCCCACTGGGACCAAAACTACCTCTGTTTCAGCACCAGGTGAAAACCTGATTGATCCTTGAAGCAAGTGGTAATTTAAAAACGTATATGGTTTGATCTTGAATCCTTTGATTTGTTGGGTGGAGAGGTTATCTTAGTTGTTTAATTGACATGTTTAAAACCTTTAATTGAATATTCAATTGTGGTGATAGACATCCTATCATCTTTTTCTCCACATTAGGAGCTCTCCTAGGTACAGAATCTCTGTCTCATCTAATAAGACCCTCAGATATCACGAAAAAGCAATGTAAGAATAGTCTGTCAAAATAATGTGGAGAAGGATTAGGAAACTCTTCCTTTCCCTACATTTTTCTGCGCAGAATCCTAGTTTGGGGCATATGTTTTTGACTCTGAAAAAGACTAGAAGGTACATAGTTAGGCAGCCCTGTAACTTCATGTCCTACTGTCCCTCCCCTAAAAGTGGTAGCCTGAAAGGCTGATTTCAGAATTGCTGATTTTTAAAAGATAAATACAGAGAAGATATATGTATGGCTACATGAAGTATATAGTCTGGTCTGAACATATTTACAAATAAGGCCAATTCATACCACACGTTTTTTTAACAGTAGTGAAATATATAGGCAGCCTCTTCATAGCAATGAACTGCACAGAACTAACCCTAAAGGTGATGATCCAGTGAGACATTAAACACATTGAGAAGATGGCAATCTCAACATTCGTAGAAGGTTTGTAGGCAGGTGCTGGAAAGCAACCGTGGGCAGAGTTACAATGACAAGCGTCTACAGTAGTCACAGAGGTGGCCAATGAAAGCCTGTTTGACTCAGCCTGGAAATGCATCCTTTTTGCAAGTGTCATTTCACAGAGTTTTCTGCTGTGCCCCAGAGTCTTATTTGTAGTTAATGGTTATTCTTTCTGAAGGACAAGTGTAATATATTCTTTGTTAGATTTCTTGTAATTTTTTTCACCCAGTAGGCAAGCACTTTGTACAATACAAACAATCATCTGCGTTTTGTGCCACTAGTAGTTTATACTGCACCGTCTGTGATATATTTTGGTAACAGTCCTCTCACTAATTCTCTTGGAGTTTGTGGTTTGAGGATTGCAGCCTTTGTCTTGTATTTGCGGTGGGAGGGGGGGGGAGGCCCAGCTGCAATGCATCCTCCAGCACCTCGTATTTTTGTGGTCTCTGTATCTGCTTCCCAGCGAGTGTCCAAATCATTTGACAAAAACAGTATTCTCTTTCGGTTAAGAAATATTTGAGCCGCTCTTGAAATTCTCCAGGTTTGTTGACATTCTGCTCTGACTTATTATCTTTTACTGTCCTCAATGATGTTTGGACGATAACCAGACATGGGTAGATTGATTCTTATGAAGCAGGATTACTAGCTGCTTCAGCACCTCTCCTAGGTTTTGCAGTGGGGAGAGGTGGGGCAGTGCCTGTTTCCAGACTGAGGCCTGTAATCTAAGCCCATGGTCAGCAATTAATTTTTAGGGGGAGGGCTGGTTTTTCACTCAGCACTAACTGAATGGCCAGCTACACTTTCTTCCCCACAGATTGCCTCTTCTATAGGATGTGATACAAAGGGGCCTTGAACCCCTTTCCTTCCATATGAATGGCAGCAGAGGCATTCACAGAAACAGCTATACTGTTGACACAGGAGGGAAAGAGTTAGAGGTCCATAATGGGGGCGGGTCGGTGGGCTTCATTCCACCCACGCAGGTGTTGCTGGACATGTTAAGAAGACATGGGGGTTTGGGTCTTTGCATATTTGAAAAACCCTTTGGCTGTGTTTTCGCTTATTCATTTATGTGGAAGAATAAAAGGATGTGACATTTTGGTCATTCCTGCTCTTCAGACTGAGTCCTTTTGTCATCAAAGGGTTCTGGCAGCACTTGGGAAAGTTACTTTTTTTGGATTACAACCCACAGAGCCCTCAAACCTGTACTGTATAGCCGCTGAAGTGGCTATAGTCTGAAAGGGTTAATAATTTTACTTCTCTAGTTTTGTTCTGTGTCTAATAGGTGTCATTATTTGGGTCTTTTATTTTCCTCAGCATTGCCATTCAGCAAACTCAAATCATTTTTTAAAATATCTGATTGTGGTCACCTAGGTTTCCTGTGATTAAACAGAAATTAAATCCAGGGCATGGGAAGACAAGATGCCCGTGCACTTTATGGGCTACAGCACCCATTTTGAGACAAAGGGTGTCTTTTGCTATGTGAGTGGTCAAGGAATTAGCAGGGCTTTTATACTGCCCTCTCCTCTCAAAATGCCAGCCGGCACCACTAAAGTGGAATAGAGAGGTAGAATCTCTCATGCCAAGTAAATCCTGGTACAGATTATTCTCCCATGCTCTCTTATCCTTTAAGAACAAAGGAAGGCAACAGGGGCTAAACGTACCCTCCATTCTCCTATTCAGTTCCTGAGGTTCCACAAATCCCTTGTTGCTGGGATCATGAAAACTTAAGCCTTCCCAACAATCTCTCTCTCTCTCTCCATTTCCCAATTACCAGCATTTGTCTTGGCATTGTTTGTGGATCATAGCTGAAGAGGTCAGTTCCCCGCTCCATGCCAGCTGGTGTGCTCCCGGCAGCGTGGAGCTTCGCATTTTTAAAAGATGCACACCTTCAAATAGAATGAAGCAGCAAATCTAATAAAACTGGGTATAAATCTATCAATACACCCTAGCATTTTAAAAACTCATTCTTTAATGTATTTCCTATTTTACTGTAAGGTTAAAAGGTTTAGGAGATCATTGTTTCTTTCCTTTTCTGCCATGTTCTCTCCTCCCCCTTTCAATTCTGCACCTTTTATTCTAGGCACTCAAGACCTAAATGGAACAGGGATATACTGCTGTTCATCCTTCCCATGTGTCGCAGCAGAAGGGAGCTGAGCAGAATGTGCAGTGTGTGTGTGTGTGTGCGCGCACACACACACACACACAAATATTGTGGCTGCAACCCCAAGTCTCCTACGTAGACAATATGTACACAAAGAGAGTGTTGAGGTTGTTCCTGGTATACCAAATGCCTTAGCAGCACATTTATTTCCAAAAGCAAGTGGACTGAGCTCTCTTTGAATGCATAACCAGATACACCACTGTCGTGTGGAATGGTGCGATCTGTTGTGCAGATGGTGTGTCTTGGAATACAAGAAATGGAGCCATGCCCTGCAGCTCAAGAAGTGTCAGCTCACATGTGGGATATGGTTCTGCTCTTTTTTCTTCTTAAAATATCTGTCTTGCCTTTTTATACTCATTTCATTCCAACATTCTGAGTGGCGATATTGTTTATCTTTGTAGGTCGTTCAGATGGATCAGAAGCTGAACCGCATCACCGACCTTCTGCATCAAGTGGTTTCTGTCCAGCAGGGAAACCAAGGCAGCAACAAATCATCTCACAGGAATGATGTTAACTCTGAGCTTTTTCATGCTAGTAACACTCTGCCTACGTATGAGCAGCTGACAGTTCCAAGGGGAAACCACAATGATGTTTCCTGATGCATCGGCAGGGAATCTGGTTTCCTTTCTTTCAACTGACACTGAATGTCGTGAAGCTTGATGAGGTTTGGGGACAAATTGAAGCTCATAATCAGCCATACAAGAATTATATGTATATATTAAACCAATATTACTAACTCCAGGTGTATTCTTCCAAAGATGATGATTCAGATGACCACAAAACCTTAAAGCCTGCACTGCATTGTTGTTATTGTCAATGTTTGTCCAAGTGATAAATTCATAAGCCTTACTTCTTTTACCCTCATGCAAGTAGGTAGTCCTAATGCAATTTGTCATTACACTGAAAGACCAAACAGAATAAGTAGTGGTGGTAAGGATGATAATTATAATGACAGAGGCAAAAAGTCAGCATGTTTGATTATATGCCCAGTTTGTTAGGCACAGCTGCTGTTGCAGGGAGTGCTTAGAAATCCTGCATAGACACCCTAGAAAGAGCCTGAAAATTCCGCAGCAGCTCTGCTTAGTAAACTGTGGCTCTTTGGTGATAACAAGACTTGAATTTAGAGGGTTATGTATGCATTCTGTTCATGGTATTCTGTTTATGGACTCTGCTGGTAGTTACATAGTTCTGCTAGTTAGATTTCTAAAGGAAAATACTGAATATGGGTTGCATTATATAAACATACCACAGCCATTCTAAAAAAAAAATGGCAAAAGCATGCATTGAGTGATTTCTACAACCCTGTTTTCATTTTTAGCCTGTCCCATAAATCTAAGGTAATGATAACAGGTTTTTTTTTAAAGAAAAACCTCACAAAATAACTGATTTTCTTCAGAGAGGAGTGATTGCTTTAGCCTAGGACACCAATCTTTCTAAAAGAAAGCAATATCTAGATTCTTTTTTGTATTTTACCATGATTACATGGAGACATTGAAATATTACATAGGAAAATTGCTGTATTTTATTTTATTTTTAATCATACAGTTGCCAAATTATTTATATATAGTATTTATCACAACCTTCTGAGTGTGTTTGTCCAGGAGGAGCTTTAAAAATTCATTGCTTTTTATGTTGATGTAGGTCTTGTGTGTTTCTCGATGTACTGTAATGAGCACAGGTCTAGAGTAACTGGATCTCCTGGGACAGGAGCTCGAAACATACTCGTTGGGAGAAATACCTTCCACAGCTTTGGACATTGGCACTGCCAGCCAAATGCACATTCACTCCCATTTTGACTGGCAAATGTCTCCGCGATCTCCACCAGGAAACCTGGGCACCTCCCTCGAGCGAAGACACACTGCCTTCCTGTCTGTTTGGATGTATCGAAGAATCACTGATAGCTGAATGTAGAAATGACTTGTGTTTTTGGCAGTAGGTGCTGTTCTCTAATGGATGCTGCTGTGTGTGCATCAGGCAGGTGAGAGCATGTGTCACTTGTATGTGTCTCCAAGCCCTGCTTTGTTAATATGAAAACCTGATCTCGTGCAGGAATATGTCTTGTGTACCAGACTGACTACAACAGCTGTCTATATTTCTCTGGCAGTACACATTCTGGAATATGGCTTCCTGAGCAGCTTGCCTTGTAAATATTCTTTAAAGCAAGTTTCCAATTTGCCTTGGAAATTTGTTTGAAACTGTATGATCTTGACATGCGGTATCACTGATAAGATGTCCACATTACTGCCCTTCATCTCAACCATAGTGCTTTTTAGTAGAATAGACTTCCTTTTGTCCATCTTAACCTTAAGGCTTTATGTTAGATTGGATTCCCATATTCATTTGTGCATCATCAATTGTTAGCTAATCAAGTAATGGCTATGCATATGTCAACCAGCTCTTAAGAATCCGAGGGAACTATGGTATGGAGAGAGAGCTCTGTGGCTCTACACTGAACTTAACAAATAGCTAAGTGTTTTATTGGCCATAATTTTATTAGCTGCACCAGCAAAACTCCATTGGTGTACATTTCATTTAGTTATTTTATTTATTTATTTATTTGATTTATATACTGCCCATCTAGCAGCCAAGGGTCACTCTGGGCTGTTTACAACAACTAAACAGTAAGAACAACAGAATCACAAAACATATTGACATCAATACATTATGAAAGAGCAAAAGAAAATACCGTAAAATACAATAGGAGACATAATAAATTACAATAAAATAAATAGCATGAAAGCATGGTGGTAAATTATTACATTATCGGAAGCATTATTGCACCATGATGTTATTTGATTTCAACAAGAAATTAGCATAAGTCAAAAAGTCAAGGTAGAAATTTGCTATCACATACTCATCACTTGACTCAGTATAAGATAGCAATTGCTGACACTTGACTTCTTAACTGAGGACAATTCATGGCTGAAGTTTATGCTGGTGGAGTTGTACCGGCATTAATACATAATAGGATTTTGACCATTTCATTTAATGTAACTGATTTTACTTTATTTTCCCTGAGTCCGTGTATAGTAGTTAAATATATGGTATTATATTGGGGTGCATAGTGGGGGAGCAGAGCTTTTGACCATCCTGATGCTTTGACTCACAAACAGAACTGGAAATTTAAAATTGAAACTGCTTGATTGAAAGGTTTTGGGACTTAACAGTCCTAAAAATAAAATTTCAAAGCTCCGCCTGCCACTCCCACCAGTCCGAAACGGCATGGGTACTTGAAAGTGATCAAAAGCATCTAGTGGGTCAGATGTCCCATCCCTGATATATAAGGATTGTTCTAACAAAATAAACTGAGGCCGCAAACACCTTGAAATGTCCCTAGCCATCCAGATGGAAAACAGAACTGCCCCCACTACTCATTTCACATGATCCATCTGTCATTTGAAAATACTGTTAAGTGGAGGAATGGGGAGGGCTATCTCGTGCTCCCCTCCAGAGGTATCTGTGATCATGCAGTATCTTCTTGGGGACAGCATGCATGCTTCCAGCTGCTTCCTGGTTTTATGTAATTTGCAAGAAAACTGCAGTAATACCCAGTAGTATGAAGCTGTATGTCCTATCCCTTGGCTGTCCCTCACCCAACGGGCTTTTTGTGGTGACTTTTTGAGCCACTTCCTGATTGAATTAATGAGCAATACAACTTTGTTCAGAGATCCACTTCTTTGATTGGTTCTTGGATGAGACTGTTAAATACATTCTTTTGGATGAGACTGTCAAATACATTGGAAGCTACTGTATGTTAGGAGATCTCTTTGTTAGCAGAATAAATAGCAATGATGTTCCTGTGAGCTTTTAAACTCACTATATTATTCTATGCTCTGGAGGTATCAACCAGGCAGAAAGTTTAGATGAAACAAGAGTTACTAGGTTTATTTAGAAAACAATTGATAGAAAAGCCTATCCTAAACTAGATGGACAATCATGTCTCAAGGCCTGAGCTTATGGCCCAGAGAGGATGGGTGTAACCCAGTCTCAAGAAAGAGATGTTAAGAGCTTGAGGGTTAGATAGGGCTGAGAGGAGGAGATGGAAACTGCTGAATCTTTAAACCTTTAGGAAAAGCAATAGAATAGTGAGTGATAGCCAGTGAAAGGAATTGTTAGAGCCTTAATTGATTTCCGGAATGCCCCTATTGGGCTCCATTGGGAGATGTGCAATAGAGATTATGCTCTGGAAGACTCTTCCAACACCTCTTGAGCCAGAAGACAGGTGTATCAGTCAGGGAGGTCAGCTTGTACCTGTCCAGAATTGAGCAATACAAAGGCCATGGCATAGTCTTAGCAAACAGCATTCCTTCCATGGTACTGTAATGAAAGGAACAAGCACCCTTATTCTCCGAGGGCTGCTTTGACACATCATATTTTTGCAAAATCTCGTTAAATTCAAAGGCCACGATCCTGTTGCACAAATTTATACCGTGCAGTTGTGGTATCTTTAGCTGCAGCTGTTTCAGGGGGGCTTAAAGTTTCCTATCCCCTCATCCAGATTCTGGGGATTCCTAAGAATTTCTTTCATCTTGGCAAAGTCCTTGGGAGCTGTGGAACATGGGAAGGAATTTTTCACAGTGATTGTTCGGGCCCTAAAGACTTCCTTCCCCCATTCCAAAGCCTTCCCCAGGATGAGAAAGGGTCCCTAAGGATCCTTGGGGCCTGAGGGAGGAGAGGAGACTTTTAATTCCCCCAAAATCGCAACGGCTGATGATGTTGTCACATTTGTGCAGCATAAAGTTGTGCATCAGGATTCTAGCCCAAGTGGTATCTGCTCATTGGCAAAGGTGGAAGGAGTTCTCTTTTTTTCAGTTACCATTATCCATTGTGCAAAAAAAGTTACTGCTACTTCAGTTGTCACAGTTATGGCACACATATACAGAAAGCCAGCCCTGCCATTCGTCAGAGTGAAGCCTCATGTAGCAAATGTTCCACATAACTATTCCAGAGCTGACGATAGTTATTTCTTTGACATATAACTCTTAGAATATTGCAACCAGCATGGCCACTAGCCACTTTGGCTCCCTTGTTCTAGAAGTTTTAAGCCAAAAAAGTGACTTTTCCATCTCTGAAAGTTCTTTATAAACACTATATTCCTCTCTGTTGGAGGACTCCACTGTGCATGTCACAAACTTGTCCTGGACGTTAGGCTGGCAGTGGCTAACTGTCAGTATTGTAGTAAGATTAAGCTGCCAGACCAATCTGCTTATGTACATCAAGTGGAAAGGGAGCACCTCACCCTAACATCCTTCACCTCAGACTGCAATCTGTCGTACGATGTCATAGGATGGCTATGTTTTATGGACCACTTGTTGGAAATGTAATATGTGAAGTAGCCCTAAAAGGAGACATCCATGGAAAGTTCAGCATCTAGTGGAGTGCTAGCTGACCTGAACAATATTGATTTAACTGGATACCTTCTCCTGGGGACAGCAGCAAAACTCCAGCACAAGATGCTATTATCAGAATGCTTTCCAGAACCCTTCAAATGCTAGTCTTCTACCAGAAAGAATTTAATGCCGTAAAAATCTCAGCTGAGTCCTGTTTTTCACTTTCTTTTACCTTTAATGTACTTTGGCTTAGATATGAATATTTAACATTTTCTGCTGATTCACTTCTGTGCAGTTCACACTGAAGTGACATTTTCCATTTTGTTACTTTTTTTAAAAAAATCTGGGCCTACAATAACTCCATGGGCTTTCTAAATTTACTCCACAATTTGTATTCTGTTTGACAG